GAGTGAAAGGGCCCGTGAGCTAAGATGTGAAAGGGGTCCGAATTGTACTTACTTAGCATGGACACATGAAAAATATTATGAACTCTAGATAGTTTTGGAGGTAATGCTAGTCTGAAGACAGCGGTACCAATTCTGTCTAAGATCTCAAATGGCCCAATAAACCGGAGATTTAGTTTCCATCGCTTGCCAAACTTCTGATTCCCTTGAAATGGGTGACATTGAGGAACACTCGATCATCTTTTTCAAATTCCAAATCTCTCCTTCTAGTATCCACATAACTCTTTTGTCTGCTCTGAGTCGTCTGAATGTTCTTTCTGATCTTAACTATTTTGGTTGTAGTCTCCTCCACAAAATCTTGACCAAATAATTTTCTCTCACTCACCTCCTCCCAACAGATCGACAATCTGCATGGACGACCATATATCGCCTCATACGGAGCCATGTTGATACTTGTTTGGTAGCTGTTATTGTATGCAAACTCTATTAGAGGTAACACAGGCTCTGAGCATATCCTTAAATATGCGGATCATCCTTTTTAATTGTCCATTGGTCTGATAGTGGAATGCAGTAGTAAGAGACAATTTCGTTCTCATGCCTTGCTGAAAACTAGAGCAGAACTGAGAAGTGAATCTGGGGTCCCTATTGGATACTATTGTCATCGGTACTCCATGTAACCTGACTATCTCCAGTATATACATTCTTGCTAGCTTATTCAAGGGGTCTGTTATCTTGATGGCCAAGAAGTGAGAAGATTTGGTGAGCCGATTAATAATTACCCAAATGGCATCATATCCCGAGCGTGCCCTAGCTAATCTTGTCACAAAATTCATTGTGATGTGTTCCTACTTCCACTATAGAATTAGTAATGGTTGAAGTAGTCCGTCTGGGCGTTGATATTCTGTCTTGACCTGCTGACACACTAGACACTTAGAAACAAAGTCGGCTACCTCTCTTGTCATCTCGTTCTACCAAAACTGGAGTCGCATACTTTGATATATTTTAATACTTTCAGGATGTTTGACAAACTTTGAGCTATGAGCCTCTGTCATAATATCTATTTACACCTCACTGTTATATGGAACACACACCCTGTCTTGAAATCTGAGTAATCCATCGGCAGAGACTCGATGTTCTGAATTTACTTCATGTTCTACATCTTTTCTGAGAGCTAATAGGGGGGAATCGGCGAACTGAGCTTTTTTTATTCTCTAGATCAATTCAGGTTGAATAGTAAGATGGGCCAACCATGTAACTCTTTTCAAGTCCTGAAGTCGTATCTATTGTGCGACCCTTATTACCCTGCATTTTGAAACTATTAGATAAGTTAACATACTTGTACTTTTTCTATTGAGTGCGTCGGTTATCACATTGCCCTTACCCGGGTGATACAAAATATTGCAATCATAGTCCTTGAGGAGTTTTATCCATCGTCTCTGATGCATGTTGAAATCCTTTTAAACGAATATGTGTTTTAAGGTCTTATGGTCGATATAGATCTGAAAAGTCTTTCTATACAAGTAATAACGCTAAGTCTTCAAGGTGTGAATAATCGCGACAAGTTCTAAGTCGTAACTGGGGTAGTTTTTTCCATGACTCTTCAACTGCCTGAACCCATAGGTTATGACCTTCTCATGCTGCATTAGAACACAACCTACCCCTAGGTAGGAGGTATCACTATAAACTATGTATCTACCTATCCCACTCGGCAAGACCAACACAAGTGCAGTAGTCAACCGCTTCTTTAGTTCTGAAAAGCTCTTTTCATAGTCCTCGTTCCACTCAAGTTTGACGTTTTTCTTTGTGAGTCGGGTCAAAGGTGCAGTTAGGCTAGAAAATTCTTCTACAAACCTGTGGTAATAACCTGTCATTCCCATAAAGGTACGAATCTCTTTGA